ATGAACACATTCTTCTATTGGTATTTCAGTTGATTATTTCAGCTCACAACAGAAAGATATCCTTGGAATTTGGTTGTTTCGCTGGTGTGGTTTTGTTCCAACTCAGATGATGGGAATGCTTGGGTATTTCAAGGAAATCGCATATGATCCAGGTTCGTTAATTATATACATGGTTACTGATTAGTGCTTACTTTGCTATGTAAGTACACTAGTGTGTATTAATTGTGCCTTCCCTTTGCTTTCTCCTTTTAGACATCTCATTCTCATGCATTCTCCAATTTACCTTTCGTATGAGCATCATATTGACACTAAACCTTTATTTTCTTTTTGCAGGATAGATTTTATAAGGTAACATGAATTAAGGAGCAATTCTTCTGTGAGGCCATAGCCTGAACTGAACCGAGGAGCTGATCAATGACTATAGAAAGATAACATGAAAGCTCATAATTCACATGGAATGCGATTGGCAAGAAGATAGTGACATGCAACAGTCATGTGTTTGTATTTGTGTAGCTTTTAGTGCTGAAGCATGTCTGGTAGTTAAAAGGCATAACATTGGTTTGAATAAACCAGTATACAGACATGATACCTAATTACTTACCTTGAATTAGAGGAACCAAAATGAGTGATTGGAGTTGATGGTTAAAATAACAGTAGCATAGGGTTTTCCCTGTCATGTAATTCACTAACATACAATAAATATTGCCTCACCTACACAAAAGACCTTTGCCGTTTTATTTATAACAGGTGTATGTATCTGTGATTCTTCCTATCTATGTCCCTTAGTGTTTAATTTACCTGTTCTTTTTCAAATTTTGTTTATTAGCAGGAAAATAACTTGCGCAAGTATTGAGCTCCTCTTATGCAAAAGTAGTTCCTTCCTTTTGCGCGATCTCCTGTGTCATAGTAGTTGGACGCTCAATGCAGATAAGCAGACTGGTATCAAGAGCCGTCCAGATTGTGCAGGTTTCCTTATGAGTAGGCCTTCTTTTGTTTCTCAGTAAGGTTCTGAGTGAGATATGAACCATCTTCTTAGTTTAGCAGTACTTTCTGTAGTTGCAAAACTTTCGTTTAGGTATATAGTACCCTTTCTGTGTGAAGGCAGCACGATTTCTGAAGTTTTGCTTCTACAAAAGATTTCATCTTTAATATTATAGTGCAAACTCTTTGTCAATTTTAGTTCCAGTAGTTCAGATAAGTAGCTCATGCCTCCACAGCCTCGTGTAACGATGTGCATAATTTCGAGACAATTAGACTTAGAACCACATACTCTAAACTGGTTTGATTTTGGATTACTTAAACTGAGTTTAAATCTTGATATAGTACTTCATGAGTTCTGTTTCAGGTTGATGTAGGCTGAATCATTTTGTGCTCGTCGCAAACAAGTTGGCCGAAGTGTTGATCAACGCTTTTGACTAGGTATGAACTATCTGAACTTGTTTATTTATTTTCAAAGAAGTCTTTCAAAGTGTTATACATATACGGATCAAGATATTTGACAACATGCGATTGCATGTGCACCTCACTTAGTGAATATTAACAATGGAGCTTTATTGTATTATAGTAATTGTTTTTAAATTATCTAGGGCTATTTAGATATTAATATCTCACTCTTTAGTTATTTCATCACTACCATGTTTTTGAGATATCACAACGGTTTCGGCGTAATGGTATTAACCGTTGCATTTAGGTACCTATAGGAGCGGTTTTGCAGCGATTCTAACCGTGACAACAGGTCTAATGCCGCGGTTTGTGAAAAAAACAATATGTTCGGCCCAATCATTGTTCCGGAGGTTTTGGGCTGACGCGTAACTATTGGATTTTTATTAGATGACAATGGAGTTGAGTCTTTCATAAATTAACTTTTCTGTTATAAACTGATCTCTCGCATCTCGCCGCTCTCGAAATTCCCAAAATTGAAAACCCTCACTCTAAATTAACCATCGTCAAAAACCCTAGTTCTCACTTCGCCATCGCCCAAAACATTAGTTCTCAATCTCCATCGCAAATTCTCATCACCGTTAGCAATTCTACCTCATCATCGCCGGCGGCATGGTCGTCTTCATCAATTGTTAGCTCAATCTCGCCGGCGAGCAGCACCATCTCAAGTTTAGTAAGGTATTGGAAAATGACTCGATTTCGGTGATTTTTTAGATTCTTTCATCTTGTGCATGTCGTTGTAGTTGTTGATGTAGATTTAGGGTTTAAATCAAAGCTTTGAGGATCATTGCTCTGGAAATTCATTTCATTAATTGCTTCAGTTTCTGGTTATATCTAGGTTTTTACAGTAAATTGGAAACTATATACTCAGATTCAGAACTCTAAAAGATCATCTTTTAGTGGTCAGTTCCTCAACTATGTGATGCTAAAATTGTATATGGCAATCATGATCACTTTATTTATATGATATGATTTTTTTTTGCTCCATGTGTCTTGGTAAAATTCTATAAGGTGATCACTTTATTTATACGTGTAAGGAACTCTTCAATTTTTTTGCACAACTTGGTGAATAGTTTTAGTAACTAGCCTAGCTATTTGAGGCTTCTGTATTTATCCAGAATTAGCGTAAACAGACACAAATTAGAAGGAAAAGGTCATGCTGATTTAGTGTAATCTTTTTCCTAATTTTGAATTTTGAGCTGGTTTGGACCTAATTTAGATGGTGTTAATGCAAGATAAAGACTTTCCCTAATTTTGTTTCATTATATAATCGTTACTATATTTTACTTCAAAAAGTGTCTTTCGGCGATACTGATGGATGCAGGTTAAATCCAAAAGTGACCTTACATAACCTTATAAAAGAGAAACTTCTATGATCAATAATAGAAATATTTTCAAGTACATTGAGCATATTGGCATATGTTTTTAATTAAAAAGAAGAGCAAAAGTGATGTTATAGTTAGTAAAAAATGGACATAACTATAGCTGTATGTTTTTAAGGTTATATGCTGTACTTATTTAAGAAGCAACTAGTTGACGGTCACATAAGATGGATAAGATTGTTGCTATCTTAATGCTCCTTTTAGAGTGGCTAGTTCAACTTTCGAGAGTGACAATTCTCCATAAGGAACTAATTTAGTCATTTGTATGTTGGCCTTAGCTTTAATACTTAGTTGGTCTTTCAATCTTCCTTTTACTGTGAAAAGGATATTATGATTATTTGGACTACGCTTATTCTGTGAATGTGACATGAGTGAGGAGCACAGTTTGCATTATGCTGCCTGTAGAGGGAGTCTCAAGGGCTACCAGGAAATATTACTTGCATTATACTTCTTTTGATTTCAGAAACTAGCTAACTTTTTTGTAAATTTCCACCATAATTAGTAGTAATACATGTTTGAATCTTCTTGTTTATGTTAGAATAGTTTCTAAGAGTGTCTCACTTTAGGGATTCTTATTTTCAAATGGTTTCCAATTGATGATTACTAAAATGTGAGGTCGCCATAGTCTCAAAACTTTTCTCGTGCCAAATTATTAATATCGCAAGGTATTTTATCTCAAAATATTTCTTCTAACATCACATTGACTAAATTTTAACCTTGAAGGATAGATCGGTTTTCTAATGCTAGTGTGCTGGGGAATTTGTTTGAAGAGGAGAGTAAGTAATCAGCTTAATTTACTTGTAATCACTTATTCTATTTGGAGAATAGTTATTGAAGTTTAATCTATGCATAAACGATTGATACATTAGAAAACTACCATGATGTTAAAACAGATAGACATGCATATGAATAAATATTCATTTAAAAAAAGAAAAACTCAATTGTTTGTGTTTGATATTATCTCACTTGCACAGTTGCAGTTGGAAGCTTTTTGTGTTTGATATTATCTCACTTGCACAGTTGCAGTTGGAAGCTTATTGCCAAATCAAATTGTTGCCATTTTAGTTTTAATCTATTCAAATATTTTTAGAAAGAAAGATGTAACTAACATCATACTATCTTTTGTGAATCTGAAGTAACATCCCTGATGTTAGTGAATTTTTTTGTTTTGATGATTTCAATCATAAGCTGATAAAAATTTTAGAATCTGTAGGATGTCTAAAAATCACAATAGATAGTTGATCCCCCATCAAACACCGATGATGGAAGTTACAATCTGACGACTTCCAGAAGGCTACAATTTGAGGACTTTCACGTAGAAAGTTACAATCTGACGACCTTCACAACAACTAATGAAAGCCCCAATTCAACAGCTTTCACAATCAACATCGGGAGTTACAATCTGACGACTCTCATATTTTTAAGGAGCCAAGACGAAGATTACAAGAGGACGATCTGTGCAAAGCTCTAGCAAAAGAAACTACAAATTGACGGTCTCTTCATATTAGAATGCAGATATCTCTCAAACCGTAAGGAATTTGGCGAAACGGAGGAAGCGAACCAAAGCCTTTCGAGATAGCCGATTTTTATATATAATTCGTCCAATTCCGACTTATGGTTTGAAAGTTATGACCTGTTCTTCGTAGCAAATTATGTTCTGAAGTCCGTCTACAAGACCGGACTTCGTCAGAACATTGGACTTAGCTTGAAGCTCGCCAAGCCCGCCTAAGGTTCGCCTCTGCATTACAGAGTCAAAACCCATAGGTCGAACCAGCGTTATAACCTCAAAACGCAGAAGTTATCCTTGTGATATAACATCAAAACGCAGAGTTACGGCCCAACTCTGCGTTTTCAACCTAAAACGCAGAGTTCACCTCTAAAACGGCCCAACTATGCGTTTTCAGCCTTTAAACAGGCCCAACTCTGCGTTTTCAGCCTAAAACGCAGAGTTCATCTCTAAAACAGCACGACCTGTGCGTTTTCAGCCTTTAAACAGGCTCAACTCTGCATTTTCAGCCTAAAACGCAGAGTTCATCTCTAAAACAGCACGACCTGTGCGTTTTCAGCCTTTAAACAGGCTCAACTCTGCATTTTCAGCCTAAAACGCAGAGTTCATCTCCTAAAACAGCACAACTGTGCGTTTTCAGCCTTCATCAAAGCACTAACAGAACGGTTTCAAAACCTTTTTCCCCACGATTTAGGGAGCTGTTTAAGAGGGGGCGGTTATACCCCACTCAGCCCATTGAGGAGCAAATTAAGGGGGCAGTTACACCCCCCTTAATCCCCTATAAATACGAGAAACTCAATTGAGTTAGAGGAGGGGATTTTCTCTCATCAACAAAGGGAGACTCGGTCAAGGGCTGGCTTTTGGGATCTTAGACTTGGCAGCAAAGAGGGAATTTCTTGGAGATCGGCATCATTCTCTAACAGAGATCATCTTCAAGATCGGCAACATTGAGCATTCCCTTGGCTGATTAAATCAACTCGGTTCAAATCAACTCTTTTTCAAGAGTTTCCAACTTGTCCAGAGTTATCAACTCGTCCAGAGTTTCAAACTTGCTTTGCAAGTTCTCTACAGCGTCAAATCGTGAGGAGAAGACTACGTTCCAGTGAATCAAGACGGTCAGATCGTCAACGGAGAGCAAGTTCGACACAATCAATCGAAGGAGGCACTCCATCGCCACCGTGAAGAACTCAGTTTTAAACAAAGGGGAGAGTCAAATTCATTCTCCTCTCTTTTGTAATCGGAATCCAATTTGTAATCGATTTTGAGAGGAATACAAATCAATTTTTCTTTCATTGTCTTTTTACATCAAATTTCCAACAAACAAAAGATGGCGACTCTGCTGGGGACTAGCTTCTCTGACGAAGAAGTGGTGGCGCAATCCGATGTTCATCTCACTGGAACGACCGTTGAAACTCTGATTATCGAGTTTGATCAAGCCAAGTACGAGGAGGCCCTCTCCTCCGGATCCCTTAGCCCCAAGGCTATGCGCAAGACCCGCAAAATCTCCAAGGAGACTAAAGCTCCAGTTGTTGCTCCTATGCCAAAGGAAGCCCTCTCCTTTAGCCGAGATTACTCGAGTAGCCCCTCCTCTAAAGGAGTGGGCTCAGTTTATGTCAAACGCAGCCCTCAGTGGTGCGTTGTGCAATCAAAACGCAGCCTTCAGAGGCACGTTTCAACATTTAAACGCAGATATCAAACCTGTGTTGATCTGGCTGAACGCAACTCTCAAGAGTGCGTCCCAGAACCAAAACGCAACTCTCAGGAGTGCGTTCCACAAACTGAACGCAACTCTCAGGAGTGCGTTTCAGAATCCGAAAGCAGATCGCAGGACTGCGTTTCACTAGAAAAACGCAGACTTTGGTCTTGCGTTAATCAAGCTAAACACGACCCTCGTGTTCCTTCTTTGGAACGCGATGTGAGTCGTCGTGTTCAAAATCATCAACATGGATTTAAAATTCATGTTTGCCAGGAACCAGTCCTATCCTTTAACGGACAGTGGGTTCCATCTCTACCCTCACGCTCTGTGAGAGGTTCATCCCAAGTCTCTGACTTGCGGGAATTGCTGTCGATGTTCAACCGACCAACGAACG